GGAATGTTTAGCGAAGACGTTTCTAAGGCCAGAATGTCGAACATCATTATAAGCTGGACGGTGCTGACAAATTCAAAGATATGCACTATGCAGCATAGACGGCCTTGGGTACAAGAATATCATATGCTTTTATTATTAAATCAAGATCCTTAAAGATCATACAACTAATTACCAATTCTTATTAGCATTATAATAAAATTGATTATAATTTGAGAAGGCTCGACAGTTCATTCAAGATATGTGTAAAGAAAGCCGACTAATAATACAATTTCAATGCCTTTGACTTGTATGTTTTAAAAAGTATAATATAATTTTGATCTGTTTCATTACATCCGTTGTGATTCAAATGTACATTACTGGACATTTCAGACCTAAGAAAAAATTGCGTAAAATAATTAAAAATACTTGTAGTGACAGAAATAAAATTAAAATGGTGCGTATCAGAAACCTCTACTGACCCATAATGTTTAATAAAATACACTTTGGGTGGAGCATTTGTGTTTAAGACGTGAGAACCACATTAACCAATGCAAAACCTACAAATTAATTAATCCACACAGATTATGTCAAATAATGGAAACCTAGTTTTGATACCATAACTGGAGGAGCGAAACTACTAAAATTAAGGGTTCGTTGATTCTATTTCTATGAGTGTCGACGGATTTACTCATTTTTTGCTCTCGTAGGTGAAGTTGTTGTTTTGTTCCCATGGAGAACTTCAAAACAAGGAGTGAAGAACTTGTTTCTCCAAAAAGTTTATAATAATTTTTTTCAGTAACACTTTCTTATCATGAAATTTGTATTCCAAATTAGATTTGAGCAATCAGTGAGAAGGATAAATCGAATTGATTAGTAGTTTTAAAAGGTATATAAGTGTATATCAATTAATTTATATTCCTACCGTTTCAATATATATATGTTTTAGAGAGAATTTTTTGTTTCAAAATATAAAATGTTCTAACAAAATGTTTTTTTAAAATCTTATAACATATTTTGTGGTAATTAATTAAATATGATCAAACAATAATTTTGAGAAGCAGAGGACTTCAATAATCAATACAATCATTAAGAACGATTATTTACATATCAACGATGATAAGATAACTTAAATGTATTAGTTTTAAGTTGTCAGATCTGAAAGCAGACGAAAATAAAAAGAGAAATAATTACATAGAATTTGGTAGATCCAAAGTTAAAGAGGAATTTGGTAGGCCTTAAAAGAACATACTTGCAACCAAACCAAATAAAACCAATGATGCAGCAATCTTGCTCGTTGCGCCATTGGCTCCTTGACCACACAAAACAAAAATCAATTAATTACCATAAATCTCCATAACTCAAGAAAATCCACCATATAATCTATGTGCGTACACGTTTGCGTATTAGTTTATTCAATTCGCTAGTTTATATGACAATTGGCTAACATATAGCGTATTTTAGAACTTGTTAAAATCATTACATTGAGGTTGATATACTATTTCCGTTTAGGATTTGTGAATGTAGGGCATGATTTATTTTTTTCCCAAATGAAATAAAGCAGTTGCATTTTAACTCATAAAAATATGATAATCGTATTCTTAACCAACGTATTGGTATTCGTAGGGTTTTAAATATTCTACAATAATTCATACGGCATAGCCATCTTTTTTCAAACCAAATAAATCATGCCTAATCAATATTTTTTCCACTGGAAACATAATATACTTCATACATATATCGGTTTTAATTGTTAACAACACAAAATGACAAATTATGAAGAAAAAACAAAGATATGAAATAAATAACATAATCATTTGCAAAACCGTAGAATAACGTAAGTTTTATATATTTTCTATCAAACTTGCATAAACAGCGATGAATGATGATGATCATGTCATAATTGATGTACTATAAGCTATATATGTAAGCCATAGTATATTTATATGTCATATACTCATATGTGTAAATTACATAAGAACAAGCATAACTAAATTAAATCACAAGATTAAAAGTTTCGTAGAATTTACATACCGTTGCATGCGTATTTCTCGACAACGTACGCTACAATTGGCGTTTACTTGGTTAAGTAAACTATGGTGATGTTGGCGAAAAGAGGTTGTGGGTTTGCAATTAAATTGTCGCAGAGACAAGTCACTTCCCTCTTGCTCGCCGTTTTGAGATCTTTGCAGCATTCTTCAGTTGGCAAAACACTTATCTTTGCGTAGCAATGTTTTACGATTTCAGGGATCGCTACCGCGCATATTGGATCCATCTCTGGCATTGGTTGTGCCTCTGTCCATTGAGGAGCAATTGCAACCGCTAGAAACAGAACCACTGTCACCGCAATCTCAGCCTCCGTTACTTTGTTATTGTAAGCCATTTATGATTATTGTCTAACGCCAGCAAACACAAATATGGTTTTATTTTAAATGACTATGTCCACTTTCTTTCTTTTATGTATGTGACTTTTCAAAACTCCGTTAAGATACGTTTTAAGTCTTGGAATGTACATTATTTATACTATTAAAGTATTAGAGCATGGAAAAATTTTAGTGGGTGTCTTAACACAATTTTAATTAAAATATAATAAATTTTTAGACACTTTAATGAAAGGGATTCTATGTATTGACATTTTAGACACTTTAATGAAAGGGGTCTTAATGAAATTAATATGAAAAAATGATTTAAGACACTTTAAAGAGGTTAAGGTTAATGATGCTCTTAATTATCAATCAAAAGAAGAAATTGTCTTCTTCCAATTATCATACGCCACGTCATTGAAGATGTGTTTTGACCAATGTCCGCACCATTAATACCACAACAACTAATTACGATAGGAAGCCATTAGGTCATTTTTCTCAAAAAAAAAGAAAAGAAATTTTCTTCTTCTACTGATTTGTATTAATGTTTCCAACTTATATATCATAATCCAATTTAAATCGGGTACTAATATACATCTTACAGTACTCACCAAAAAAAACAAAAAAATTAAACACTTGTACAATTAGAAAAAAAAAACATTAGTCAGAATTTGCTGGGCATAATATATTTAGTAAATTTTTATTGGGTTAGTTATAAAGAAAATGAAACTAGATTTCGTGGGGAGCATAGCATTTTTTTCTAAGAGTACGTGAGTACAACTTTTTTTACGGCGGATGCAAATCAAGCAGACCAACAATACCACAAAATTTTTATGAGTTCGTTAGTATCAACATTCGTTAATAAATTATGTGTATATGGTACGGTCAGGAGTGGTTCGATTTCATCTCTCGGGATTTGCTTGGTTAGATAGATAAACCGGTTCTTGAGCGGAAGTGGCTTGACTTGAAGACTGCTGGCTCTGAAGAGTCCATGCCCAAATACACAGAAGAAGCAAGGCGAGAAAGATGGGCTTCAAAGTTGTTTGGGCCCATCTTGAAGTCCTCTTCTTTATTTTATGTCGTTGACCTCTATGGTTGTATATCTAATCTCTCAAGCAATCTCTATTATAGGGTTTTTAATAAAAAAATTTCATCAACTATTCTCGGATCATGAAAAATTCTTTCAACTATTTTTTTAGTAAAAAAAGTTCTCAACTATACTTCGTTAATGAAATCAACCCTCCGTCTATAATAATGTTTAATCCTAATAAAAATTGTTGTCTTTTGTTACAAAAACGACAAAGCGTCTCAAATATTGACCAAAACACCAAGTTGTTTACAGAAAAACAACACAAAATGAATATTATGACCAAAAAAATGTGATCGTAGGTGTACTGTAAATCGTG